TAAAAAAAAAAAAATTATTTATTCACCTTTGTGATTTTTAAATTTCATTATATGGAGAAATTGGGTGTTTTTTCAATTGTGATTTTCTGGGATTAAATTTTTATTTTCTTGAATTGCAGCTGCTCAATTAGGTTAGAGTTATTTTTTTTAGGAATATGGGTGTTTTTCAATTGCAATTTTGCTTGGATTGAATTAAATTTCCTTGAATTTGGGCTTGTTTGATCTGATTCCATTGTAAGAACCTTTGTTAGTACTCTGAAGTTTGTTATTTGTGTGGACTAAGTCTGCAGGAAATGGAGGGACTTAGCCTCGGACGACAATTTGTGGTCGAATCTCTTCAAAGAAAGATGGGGCGCCGATCAAGCCACATTCTATGCCCCCGTTTATTCAAAACTATGGAAAGAAGTCTACATTGTTCAAGACCGTTGTGAACGAGTTGGATTGTGAGTTAAATCGCATAACTTGCATTGGTTTACATTGTTCTTGTGTTTTTTATTTTGTTCGTTGTGAAAAAATACTGTCATTGTTTGGTGAACGTTTGCTATGTAAAACCGGAAAGGGTTTTAAAAGTTTAAAGTTGAGCCTTAGTCTCGAGTTTGAAAACTATGATTGGGGGGTAATCTTTGTATATAGTGTGATAGTTAGCTTTGGCTTTGTCTGTAACTAGACCAAACCTTGAGGTTTGGTCTGTAACTAGACCAAACCTCATCGTGATCACTTGTGTCTTGATTTGAGAGGCATGAAGATATTAAGGTAAGGAAATAACTATTTGTTGGTTGACAAAATACCATCACTGTTCTTGAATGTTTGCTATGTAAATCCAGAAAGGATTTTAAATTTTGAAGTTAATCTTTTGGAGTAATCTGCCATGTTTGGTGGTAGATAAACCTAGCTGATAAGCTAATTTATAGTATTTAAGTAAATCTCGAGTCTATAGCTAATAACTTATGGCTGGCTTATAGGATAAAAGTGTTTAGTAAAATTTGGTGATAAACTGGTTTATTTGAAAAGCTATTCAAATGAAAATTATGAGATAAGCTCGAACTTTTTAAAAAAAGTTTGTCCTACCAATCCAAACTTATTTGAATATAGAAAACTTATAAGTTAATCAAATAAGCTATAAGCTATACTAAACACAACTGTATTATATTTGATAGTTAGCTTTGCTTTGTGGACCAAACCTCAAGGGTGTTTTGTTTTTTCTTCTCGTAATCTTGTTCAACATGATTGCTTTTTTTTTTTTTTTTTTTTTTTTTTTTTTTTTTGTCTTCATTTCAGAGGGTTGAAGATAATAAGGGAAGGAGATGACTATTTGTTGGTCCACCAAGGCGAGATTCAACGGCATCTCGGTTCGAGACAAGCAGAATCGCGAACTTACGAGTCGACTCACGATAGAAAAGAAGAATATGAAGACGAGGAAAAAACGCGTTCGAGCAGTATTCTTGATAAAATACTTTTCTTCATTAGGGACATGGAGACTGCATCGATGCACACGAAACGAAGTCGGTTGATTTGATGTAGATATTTGTGAGTTACTCCAGCTTTTTGGTGTTGATTGGTGCTTGTTCATATGTTCATAAAATATATTGCTTGTGTGACTTGATTTAGTTGTGTTGATTGTGTTAATTCCCCCTTTACTTTTTGCTAATTTATGTAGTTTTTGTATATATCTGATGCAAATTATGAAATAAAAATCTTAATATCAAGTTTCTGTATATATCTAATAATGAAAATTACTTCATCTAATTATATATCCCAATAGCCAATTAGTATTTTATAATTTTATATCACATCAACACCATATCATTATATTTTGTCTCGTTAATTCATATTCAAAATTATCGCATTTTTCTTGATACATTCTTCTTTTTCTACTCGTTCATCACTATTTTAAGATGAGAACAAAAAAAATTAACAATATAAATTTATATTCAATCTTACCTAGATATCTAAAAAGGCCATGCATAGACATCTAGTTGCCTAATGTATCTAAAAAAATCATGAGCTTGTTTGAATGTTAGCGGATTGAACCTCATTCAGAGGTTTGGCCCGTCAAATTCGCCTTTTAACTTATTTGATAAAGAGTTTATTTGATTAACTTATTAAAGTTTAGCACGCTAATTCTAAACAAACTCAATACATAAGCGTCCAAACAGTTATTTACAAACACCTAATATAAACCGATCAAATACACAAGCGTTTTAAAAGGATTCGTATAACAACATGTTATACAATTCGCTATTTACCAGACAGTTAGTTACAAACAACTAATATAGTCCGATCAAATACAGAAGCGTTTTAAAAAGTATTCGTAACATATTATACAATTCACTATCAAATCAGCTATTATAATCGACTATCAGTTATATGCTAATACAATTAGATATTCACCATCACCTAATTATCAAACAAGTTCATGTGCACATTGATCTCGTTCATGGGTTAGCCGACATCCATGTTTCTACTAAAATATACGTGATTGTGGCCATTCAGAGGTACCCTTCCCTTGATAAATCATGGCAGAAAAAAGAGTATTGCAAGCACCTAAAGGTCACAATCTCATCCAATTTTGTGATGGTCATCCCATGTGATGAGACATTTATTAAGTATGGTTGGAAAAGTATCGATGTTCATGATAAAAAAAAAAAAAAAAATAATAATAATAATAATAATAAATAGGAATTCATGCTAATTTTCATAGTTGCATTATTTTAAGTTTTAGTATTTTTCCTCATTATAATAATATATAAAAAAGAATCCAAGGACCTACATATCAAAATGTCGTTGGATATTCATAGGTGGATTTTTTTTTTTCAAATATAAATTATTTTTGATTCAAAACCATCATTGAATATATTTTTATTTTAATTAACTATTTGCTTAGTCTCCCTTTATTCTGTTAATCTTAATCAATATAATGAAATAATAAAAATAGTTATTAAAACACATTTTTCAAAGCATTCATTTGCTTATATATTTTTAATTATCATTCATTTAAATATAATATTTTACCATTTTTCTGTTACATCAACTTTGAAAGAAACTGTGGGAAAATGGGTATATTTTTAATTATCATTCATTTAAATATAATATTTTACCATTTTTCTGTTACATCAACTTTGAAAGAAACTGGGAGAAAACGGGCGCGGTCCCACTAACATAAAGCGCACCATAAGGTGGAAAAGTTCATATGAAGCCCAAGTGAGATTCCATCCCAAAACAATTGGTGAGAGGAAGAGTAATCCATTAGACTTATAAGGTGAGTCTATTTTCCATGTATGAACGATGTGAGACAACTCACAAGTGATATTCTAACAAACTTTATTCGTTTTATTATATCTTATATCATTTCTTAATCTCAAATTTAGCTAATTTTTTTTTTTTTTTTTTT